AATTAAGGAACTTGTCAGCAAAAAGGAAAAGGATATTGTTATGGATGTTTTAATAAATTCAGAATTTGAAAATAGGCTAAGGATAAGTTTTGTTTGTCTGTTTTTAGATTCACTGTCTTTGGTTGGAACTGGATGTGGAGGGTTTCAGAAATGAGTTGTTTGTCATGATTAAGGACAGAGGCAAGGATGGAAGTTTTGTCGAAATAAAATCTATGGTTTAGGGAGAGAGAATGTTCGGATAATTTGGAGGCGGTAAAATTACGAGAGGATACAGAATATTTATGTTGGGTGATGCGGTCTTTTAGAAGATTTTTGTTTTCACCAATATAGAATGAAAAATAATTAGGGGTAGAGCACGGAATACGGTAAATGATATGAGAACGTTGTGAGAGAGGAACAGGATCTTTTAGGGATGTGTATAATTTAGAAAGTGTGTTGTGAGATTTGTATGTAAGTTGTAAGTTTGGTTAGTAGATCGTAAAATTTTTTTTATGTTGTCAGAAAGATTAGGAATATAAGGTAGAGATCTGTATATGGAGGTCGGAATGGGTTGTGGAGTAATAGTGGAGGTCGAGATTAAGGAAGTGTGATTATTGTGGTCTTTTATAAGTTTTTTAATGAAATGGAGAGGAAAATTATTGTTTGACAGGATCTGTTTTATACATTGGATATTGGTTACAGTCCTATTTCATATATGATCATATAAGAATAATGATTTCTGAAAAAGTTACACAAATATGTTTAATGCAAATTATGATAATATAACAATATGGGCAGTATGGCACTTCAGTAGAACTCTTGGACTAACCAATAAAAAAGTTCAGTGTCAAAATATTTTGGGCCGTTTTAGAGAAAAGTATTTAAAATCAATAATATAAACTGGTACTTCTAGGAAATCATTTTAGCAAAAATGTTTTATATATATATATATATATATATACAAACTATATAAAAGCATACGTTAATTATTATAACTTATTTATAAATTTCCATTCTATTTGTCGGGATTTAATCTTGGCACACGTTCTATCTGTCCATTTATATATTCTTCACTCACTCTGTGATGCAGCTACTTCTCTTCTGTACTGGTGCATTCAACTTCCTCAACTTCTACTGTTGACACTCACTACATGTTCTTGCATTTTATTCTCACCGATGCTCCATCCTAGCCAGCTGGATTTTTTCAATGGCCAAACTCTTTCCTGAAATCACCACATTGACCACATCTCTTGACGATCAATTTGTACCCTTAAACTATTCCATCGGCCCCATCGCCCAGTCATAGGATCGCAAAGAGCCACTGGTCCTCCAGGTTGGGGGAACAGTACACTGACACTCACTCATTTACACTAATTACAGCACACTACCCTCAACCCCACACTATATACTAAGGTCAAATACATTACACACCCTAGGGTCACCTGCCCTAGGTAGCCTCCCCGGACGGGGGTGCATGTATACAAGCACCAAGGTGGCAGTCCCACCAGTATACAAGGTACGGAGTGAGGGTTAGAAGCCCCCCTACCTGAAGCTTATATTTCGCCGAAACCAAAATCAGCCTCGGGTATCGATCATCACAAACAGAAACAACCCAGCAACCCCTATAGGACAGGACTTTTAATCTCAGATACTGGAACATTCTTTCACTCTATAGATCCGGAGCATTGAGACTGCTCCTTGATCAAATTGACCATTTCAAACTGGACATAGTTGACATCCAGGAGATCAGATGGATTGGCCAGGATACTCTTGAAAATAGATGACACCATATACTATAGCTACAGCGATACATTTCATGAATATAGAGTAGGATTCGTTGTTAGAGGGCAATATAGACAACTTGGATTTAAATCCCTGAACCCGCGTATCTGTGTGCTAAGGATTCATGGGAAGTTTTATAATTATAGTATTATTAGTGTGCATGCTCCGACAGAAACTTCAAGTGAGGAAGATAAGGACACCTTTTATGAACAGCAGTACACTGAGCAACTAGATGAGAACTTCTGTGCTCAGGCTGTAAATATGGAAAACATAGAATCCCTCTGGTCCAGGCGTGTGACCGCAATGCAGGAAGTTGCTAATAATGTACTGGGACTGAGAGAAAAGGAGGTGTGGACACCATGGTTTGATGGAAAATGTGAGGCAGCCACAAATAAATAGAATGTAGCATGCAAAAATATGTTAAGAAAAAGGACTTGGAGAGCAGTCGAGGAATATCAAAAGAGGAGGAGAGAGGAAAAACGACTTCATCAAAGAAAGAGAAGGATAAATTGGAGAAGGCCGAAAAATACTAGAAGGAGAAAAATTCAAGGGACCTTTTCAAGATCATCAATAGGAAGAGAAGACCTCAAAGAAAAGTACCTGAAACTTGTAGAGACAAGGATGGGTATATAGTGGCTTGCAAGGGTGAGGTCCTATTGCAATGGAAAAGCCATTTTGATGAGCTTCTCAACTCAGCCACCTATGAAACAGACACTAGATCAGACATAAGAGAGGACTTGTTCCTGGATGTCAGGCCTTGAAACACCTGATGATGAAGAAATAATGGATGCCATTAATCAGTTAAAGAATAATAAGGCACCTGGAGCTGATGACGTGCCTGCTGGACTCTTCAGGAACGGAGGTGAGGAACTGTTTAAAAGGTTCTGGAATTTAGTCTCGACCATTTGAGAGGAAGACTGGAAAAAGTCAGTTATATGCCCTATCTTTAAAAACGGTGACAAACTCCAGTGTAAAAATTACAGGGATATCTCTCTTCTCTCTTCTGGATATAAGATTTTATCTAACATCCTGTTTCAGCATCTTCTACCCTTTGCAGAGCAGATGCTTGGTCCCTACCAATGTGGATTTAGACAAGGAAGATCTACGACAGACCAAATATTCTGCCTCAGAACAATCCTAGAGAGAGGAAATGGACATCAGATTAAAACCCACCATCTTTTTGTTGACTTTAAGGCAGCTTACGATAGCATTAACCGAGAAGAACTGTACAAGGTACTAGAAGATTTCAATATCCCAGATAAGCTAATAGGGCTGGTAAAGCTGACCATGAGAGATGTAAAGTATAATGTGCAGGTTGGTGGTCAAAGGACAAAAGAGTTCTCCTCAACAAAAGGACTTCGCCAAGGTGATGCATTAGCATGCCTTCTGTTTAACTTGGCACTTGAGAAGGCAGTCAGACATTCTGGTCTGCAAACTAATGGGATGATTTACAACCGGATGGTTCATTGTATTGTCATCAATATTGGCCCCTTTAACTTTGAGAAAGTAGCGCAGTTTAAGTATTTGGGGTCACTGGTAACACAAAAGAATGCACCCGAGATTGTGGTCAAGAAAAGAATATTTATGGCTAACAAATGTTACTTTGCCCTTCGCAAGGAATTCTCCTCTCGCCTTCTATCCTGACATAACAAGCTACATCTCTATAAAACACTAATCCGCCCAATCTTGCTCTATGATTCAGAAACATGGATGACGACTAAAAAAATTGAGCAAGACTTCCTAATCTTTGAGAGAAAAATTCTTCAAAGAATATTTGGAGGAGTACAGATTGATGGAAATTGGAGAAGACAAACAAATGCCGAAATTTGCTCAACTTTTAATGACCAAGATGTCATTCTGAGGATGAAGCTTGGAAGATTGAGATGGGCTGGCCATGTGGCAAGAATGTGGAATGAAGCAATCCCTAAGATGATCCTAACAGAGCCTCTCTTCTGCACAAGAAGAAGAGGGAGACCAAAACTAAGATGGATTCAAGATAGAAGAGATTCAAGGGATATCCTTGGAGTCAGGAGCTGGATGATGGCTGCACAGAACAGAGATGACTGGAGGAAGCTGGTGGAAGAGGCCAAGACTCGTCACCGAGTTGTAGTGCCGTGATAATAATAATAAAAAATAAAATAAAATAATAATAAACTATTTCATCGCTTTCGTCATCTCCTACCCATACCCAAACGTAGACTCCTAGTATCCTCCTTCATCTTCCCCCACCTTGACTCAGGTTGTGTGGTGTATGGGGGTGTATCTAAGAGGCTGTATCTTGGTGGAACTCGGAGACAGAATAAAAATAATTATAAATAGCTTCGTAATAAGATTTATCAATGGAACCCCGAGATGTTCCCGTGTTTCCCACTACTATGCCCACTTAGGGTGGCTTCAGAAAACAATACTTCCTTTACCAAATAATCAACAATCATCGCCCGTCCTATTTATACAATCTACTACAATTTAATCTATTCATTCATTCCCATCTATTCATCTATTCATTCCCTCTCCACAAGATCACCCCTTTCCAAAGATCTGCCTTATTCAACATTCCTTTATTGTCCGTTCCACGACTTTTTGGACTTCCATCCCTCTTAAAATCCACCGTGCACCATCCTTATCCACATTTAAAACCTTCTTATTCCAATTCCTCTTCACCATCCAATCAGACTCTGGCTAATATTTATTATGTAACAGGATTTTATTTTTATATATACATAATTATTTTTTATTGATTTTATTTTCTATGAATTGGAAAAGATTCCATGTCACTTTTAACATAGCATTGGGTGGGGTGAAGAAAAAAAACTTTTCTAAAAAAAAATTTTTTTTTCTATCTTATTTATTTCTTTATTGTTTTTAGCTAAGTAGTAACTAAATTTTGTTTCATTTGTTATTTATATTATATATATTTCAAGTATTTTGTAAATATTCTCATTAGTTTGATTTTGTATATATAGTTTGTTTACTTAAGGTTTTTTATTTATCTATTTACTTAATGTAACAGTTTTTCTGGTCAGATGTTATTCTTTTTTTTTCTGTAAAATTAGGTTATTCTTAAGGAACTTCGTCCCAGAATAAAGTTATTTTTATATCTATCTATCTATCTATGTAATTTCAGTACCAAAGTTATAAAAAAATATTAAGAAAAATTTATAGATTTATATTACTGGCATTTAGCATCTTTAAATTCTATTATTTACACATATTATGACAATATTTTATGTTTATATTACCAAGTGCGGGCCTCCATATGGGTTTGCATGACCATATATCTGTAAATATTAAGTACTCTTTTGCAGACGTCAACTTGTTGATCTAATAAAGTTGAGATTTCTGCTCCAGTGTCCAAGAGAAAAACATTTGCAGCATCAGTGACAAAAACTTGCAACACATTCTAAAAATTATATAAAAATAAACAGATAATGAGGAATAAATAGATAATTTATAAATTTGAATGAGATAAATATTTCAGTCAAATTATACATCCATGCATGCAAAAGGTCAGATAGTAAAATAATTTTATATGTTCTGAGGACCTAACTCAGTGGTATCAGCCTAAATACTACTGACCTACCTAAATCAGGAACATAATTTAAAGCAGAATTTAGCTTCAAAAAGCCTTTGTGATTGACTTAATACCCTATCTCCTACTTTTTTCACTAAATAACTCCAAGATTATGTGCCTTACAGAAAAACCTCTCTTATTCTTTTTAAAAGATTATAAAAGTTTCTATAATTTAAGACCAAAATAAGCTATTTATAACAAATATTTTCCAAAATACAGCACTTCAATAATAAATCTTTTTCTCTAAAATGTCAAAGATTTCTTAATTTGTGAAATATAAAATAAAATTACTCATTCTACAATAACAGTCATGTGTAAAGAATTTAAAGTAAATTTAATTAGCTATCTTTTCAGCCCTTAAGAGAATATCAAGACTGCGGATGGTCAACGGTTCTCTTAAAAATGAAAGATAAATAAAAACACGGAAAAGTAAATTTTGAGACAAATACTAAAAAATACTCAAGTTTTAATTGATAAATTTGTATTAATTCTAATAATTTTTTTGCCTAATGTACTTCCCACACCAATTATTGAATAATAATTTATAAAATATAAAATATGTGAATGTGTGCTAGTTTTATCTTGTTTATACACTTAAAGACAGCATATAATTTTTAATGTCAATTATTCATTTTTATAACTTATGTAGGTTTTTATTGGATTTTTTCTAGTGTACAAATTAGATTTCAGAATAAAAAACAGCAATCATACAACTTTATTGTAACAAGTGTAAGGTATTGGGGTCATAAGCATGTAACCATTATTATCACTTGATATATACATTATGATATATACAACCATTATTGTATTGTATATATGTGTAAATAAAACAATTACAGATTTCCCATAATCTGCCATCGCAAGTCGAAACCTCTCGAGCACCTAATTTGGGGAATTTTTGCCACTTTAAGCACAATTTCACGAGATTTTCGCACTTTCAGCAAGAGTTTTCTCCTTGGGCGGGATTTATTGTTTACTGCTTCGGATTAAATTTTTTTTTTTTTTTATATTTCACTGTCATATGAGGTAGTATGAACTGTTTTCCAATATACCGCAAACTCAAACCCTGTTGAAAATGTTTTAGATCATCTTTAAGATGACAAATTACAGCAATTATTTGGACCTATGATCCATTGCCGAACTAAATATTTTTTAGTATTGAACTAAACAAACAATTTCTTGTGCAGTTTTATCCTTTAATCTTCTGGAGTAACGGGTTATAAATATAACATTAAAACACTGTTTTAATAACATAAATTATCGTATCATCAACATTTGCTCTATTGTACGAATACTTTATTTGTGTATAATTTATTGAAATATTAATTTTATAAAAGTTATAAGAAATTTTAAATTTTGGCATTACATAAATTATAACAAAACAAAGTTTATCTGATATCTGCCATTTTTTCAAGTTAAAAAAAATTATAGTTAACCATTTTGGCCGAAAAGGTTTCTCCAAAAGGGAGAGGCACTAGACTTGTGCAAAGGTCACACCAAAGTGGCTGTAGCAGTCTTCAATCTTACCATTCTAACTACACCGTCAGGGCCTGGACCTGGAAGAGTCTCTATTATCCTGGCAAGCCGCCACTCCTGCAGTGGAACATCTTTTTCATGTAGGATAACAAGTGTTCCCTCTTTCAAATTTTCCCTGTCAGTAGACCACTTGTTGCGAGGCACCAGATTGTGGACGTATTCGTTATACCATCTCTTCCAAAAATGATGAAGTTTATTGGAAACCATCTCCCAAAGTCTTCCTGTTCTGGTCGGGGTGGGAGAGGTTGACCTATAAGAAAGTGCCATGGGGTGAGGTGAGGTAATCAAGGTTAACCGAATGCTGACTGCTAATATTACAGATAGGACGGGAATTTAGATCAGCTTCCACTCGTACTAGTAGAGTATAAAATTCCTCATATGTCAATGCATGATCCTGGAGAACGGCAAGAAGGTGCCTCTTAGCAGATTTAATAGCTGCCTCCTTAATACCAACCGAAATGAGGAGATGCTGGAGGAGTAAAGGTCCATTTTATACACGTCTGACTTAAATGGTTAGAAATAGGTTCGCTCTGGCCCTTAACAAATTGATAAAGCTCCTTCAACTTCTTGGATGCTCCAACAAAACTTTTCCAAAGTCACTATAAAACCACGTCTGGCAATAAATCTGTGTAATGTGGCAATAAATGAAGGAGTGGATAGGTCCATCACAAGTTCTAGATGGATCGCCTTGGTAGACATGCATACGAAGAGAGCTAATCAGCATTTTGACTTAGGAATGCATTACTGGAAATCTTCATAATGAAGAGGCCACCATAGTCTATTGCAACTTGCTGATAGGATCGACCCTCGGTCACCCTGAAAGACTGTAAGTCACTCATTTTCAGAGCCTGAGGTTTCGCATTATTTTTATGGCATGTAACGCATTTATAAATCCGGCTTCTAACGAGTCTTCTCAGAGAAGGGATCCAAAATTGGAGATGAATGAGCGACTAGACCAACAGGAACCACCATGCAAGGAATACCTGAGGTAATGGTCACACAATAGGACTGCTAAATATGAATCTTTAGGTATCAGAAGCGGGTGCTTACTTTTCACAGCAATTATAGAATATCTCCCACCCTAAGAGCTCCATCCTTATCCAATAATGGCCTCTCTATCCTCAGGAGTGGCCCAGGGCTCTAGCATATCCCCTCTTCCTTTTTAGTTCCTATATCAACGACCTCCATAAATCAATCCTCCACTGTTTTCATCACCTCTAAGCCGATGATTCCCAAATTTACCTTTCCTTCCCTCCCTCAGAGTTGTATGAGGCGTTTGCTAAAATCTAGGAAGATCTAAATCGTATCAGCGCCTGGGAAAATATAAATGGATTAAGATTAAACGCTGATAAAATGCAGGCCATTGTCATTGGTTCCAAACCCCTCCTTAAATCCAATACCAACATTCCTATTCTGTATCTAAATAACCATCCCATCACCTTCAGCTCCTCAGTTAAAAATCTAGGCATTTTCATTGACCAAAACCGCTCCTGGAATCACCATATTGCCCACATCTCTCGATAGTCAATTTGTACCCTTAAACTATTCTATCGCTTCCGCCATCTCCTTCCTATACCCACACGTAGACTCCTAGTATTCTCCCTCATCTTCCCCCACCTTGACTACGGCTACATGGTGTACGGTGGTCTCTCGGTGGAACTTGGGGACAGACTAAAAAGAATTATGAATAGATTAGTAAGATTTGTTTAAGGGACCCCGAGACGTTCCTGTGTTTCCCACTACTATTTAGCCCAGTTAGGGTGGCTTTCCCCTCCTTCAGAAAACAATACTTCCTTGAAACATTCCTTTACCAAATAATCAACAATCATCGCCCGTCCTATGTATACAATCTCCTCCAATTTAAATCATCCAACCACTTCCTCTCCACAAGATTTCGTCCTTCCGACCTTTACATCTCTTTCCACAGATCTGCTTCATTCCAACATTCCTTTTTAGTCCACTCCACCACCTTTTGGAATTCCATCTGCCATTAAAATTCCATCCACTTAAAATCTGCCATGCATCATCCTTATCCACATTCAAAACCCTATTATTCCAATCCTCTTCACAAACCAATCAGATGCTGGTTAATTAAGTATTAAGAAACAAGGATAATTTATTATTTTTTTCTTTTCATACACCATTATTTTATTGAAGGTTTTTTTTTATTATTTATGAATTGGAAAGATTCAGTATCACTTTTGGCATAGCACTGTGATGCATAAAAAATAAGAGATTTTTTGTTGTTTTAATCCATTTTTTTTTTTCTATCTACAAGATCATATATATTTTAAATGTATTTCATTTTTTACATTCCTCAATTTGTGTATATATATACCTTTTCTTATCTTAATCTTCGTGTTTGCTTATAGTTTACTATACCATTGTGAGTTCTCATTTTAAGTTCTAAAGTAAAATATATAAATAATTTATTTTATTTTCGTTAGTTTTTTTTTTTTCTCTTAATGTCGCTGTAATTGTTTTCTTATAAAATTAATTTAATGCCCCTTTCTAATTGTATTTATCTATTTATTCTTATTTTATATCTCTTATGCCGGGATAATACAATATTGTGATCCCATTGCTCATTCTCTGTCATTAATATATCTTTAATCCATGTATATATTTTGTATGTTTTAGCTGATCAATAATTTTTATTTACTTACATTTGATATTTTTTCTTTTCTGGAAGTTTTGCATTTTCTTTCTATACATGTAATTCTTTTTTATTTATTTATTTTTTTATTGGGTTTTCCAGTACAATATAAGTATAGTTGAGAAGATTTTATTTTATTTTTTAATTGTTTACATAGTATTATTTAAGTTTTTGTATACATTGTTTGAATCTTTATTAAGTTAGTTTTTGGCCAGATATGTATTTTTTCTTTTGTAACTGTTCATTATTATTAATCTAAGGGGACATCGTCCCAGAATAAAGTTTATTTTATATTAAATATAGTTGACTCGAACAGACTAAACTCATGACTGGCTTATAAAGCACCAAGATGGTTTAATATTTCTATTTTATTACCTTACATTAACGATAGCTTATTGATTTCATTTTTTCATTTCTATTTAAACTTGAGTGCATACCTTAAGGTCAGTTTAATAATAATTAAAATTAATGTTTGATAGTTATTTATTGTACATTTCAGGAAATCTGTATGAATATAAATTTTAAAAAAAGGTATAATTAAAAAAAATGGAAAATTATTTTTTTCATTTAATCACCATTTTTTGGTAGCTGCAGGTGCATGAGTACACATAAAACAATTTCTAACTATAGAATTTTCTAGTGATATTGTTCACAAATTAGGTACCTTCAGAAGACAGCTGAAATTAATGACAAACTGACATTTGAATTAAGATCATAATGGATTAGAGATATTTTGCTAACGGTTCACAATAAGTAAGTCCAAACTGTATATAAGTTTTTTTCTCCAATATTACTTATGTTATATTTAAAGCTATCACACAGGATTGAGACAAGAAAAGGTCACTCTTTGTAGGAACATCTACATACTAATTATTCTTCACATCCTTTAATAATAACTTTTTGTTTCATTTCTTTGATGTAGCTCTGATAATTACCCAGTTGTATATGCAAAAAGTTGTCTATTGAATTAAAATAACTCTTAAAGTTCATTGTTTAATGAATATTTTAACATTTCTAAAAATGTGAGATGAAATGAATTTGATTTATAAAATGTTTTTCCCATGGAAACATTTCATTGAATAGATAAATAGGGCAGTCAGTTACACCACTGTCCAGTGAGAGTAGATAATGTTTTCAGCTGTATTGCCATGTATATTATGATTAGTTAACACTCAGTAAGATAATACTATTAGTAAACATGGCAAAAAATTTGCTCCAGAAATCAGCAGGAAATTTTTTTAAATTGAACATTCAGCCATATAAAAACCAAATTAGATTTATTACTAGAATCCTGATACCAACGTTGTTTCAATAAATATAGGCAAATCAATTTAATCAGTGGAAAAATTTAACCAATAAAAAAAAATTATATAGGATATTTTTTGACATTATTTCCTTCACTACTTCCATTTTGAATTTATCCTAACCATCCAGTATTGAATTTTATCAGGTTCATTCATTAAAAACTTGACAATAAATATTTACTTCATCCTGCTTTCAAGTGACCTCTGATAATCATTAGTTTCAATCAAAGGTCCATTTTATCTGGGGCCAACAATTTAAAGTATATCACAGCCCTTATAGATCAAATATCAACAAAAAAATAGCTATATATTTATATTATTATTGAAGGAAGTTAGTTGACTGTTTTACATATCATTAAATAGTTAGGACACAGTATATTTTAAGGTTTTTATTGGTGCCGACATTTTTGAACATTCAGTGCTCGAAACCCACCCTCATGTTGACCTACATGCTTGGGTTGAAATGTTGGCACCAATAAAAACCTTAAAAACGACAGCGCCTTGACTATTTATCACCCATTATATATATTTTTATTGTTTTATTATTGTTTTTTATTGTTGTTTTGTTATAATAGTCTAAATATAAAAAAAAATTATAGTCACCACCTTTTCCCCAAACAATTCAAAGATATATAATGTCTTCACTATAAAAAGTATTGGGTCATGTTATAAGCCAATTGATAATACTATCAAAAATTGAATGTTAATATAAATACCTGCATCCCAGCTCGAACAAATGTGTTATCTTTGTTAATAGCACCAATATACGAATCGTTACGGATCCTTGTACATCTGGAATTATCATCAAAAACCTAAAAGTATATTAAACATTAACAATAATTAGAAAGTATGATTGAATAAATTAAATTGAAAAAGAGAGTTGTTATTTCAATAAGTACTTAGGTTAAACAATAGTAGTAACAAAGAATGATAGCTTATTACCAAATTAGGTCAATTATGACATGATATGTTAATTAGTGAGTAGGAAAAGCTCACACACAAAAATACAACAGTGGGAAATGAGAGCAGTTTGTGATATTATGATTTATTGAAATTATGCCTAGCATTTCTTAAAATTAACTTTCAAGATTTCAACAAAATTATGGCCCATTTTAATGTGTTCACAGGAGCTTTTCATGTTAACACTATTGATCTGAAGATTGCACAATCGCATATCAAGTTTTTGTAACTTTTTGGATTTCTTCAATATATGAGCTGTAGCAATAAATCAACAAAACCGTTGTTTTTCTTTTTCAATAATAATGGGAATTCACACATTCACTGGGTTCCTGGAGATCAAACTATTAACCAAAATTAATCCATTCATGTTCTTACAGAACTCCATGAAGTGATAAGGAAAAAACGACTAGAATTGTGGAGGGACAAGTCATGGGTTCTTTACCTAGACATTGGCTCATTTACTTGGTATATAGCTAAGTACAGCATCCCAGCTGGCTGCAGTGGAGGATACCTGGATTCTTGTAGGACCGTAGTACTCGACCATCCACCTATTCACCAGATCTTCACCAGTGCCACTTCCACCTGTTCCCGAAAGTGAAATCTGCATTAAAAAGGATAAGATTTGAGTCCGTTGAAGCTGTAAAAGAGAAAGTGAGACACGTCCTAAAGGTGTTGACAGAAGAAGACTTCCAGCACTGTTTAAGACAATGGCAAATTCGCATGAATCATTGTATGGATAGAGGAGGGATGTATACGGAATGTGATAATAAGTAAATATGCGCACAGGATCCCAATTGCCAATTAAATTCTGTATAAAATTCTTGATTTAATTACAACATCAAGCAATCAATTTTCATTCCAGTGAGTACCAGGACATGCGGGTCTATACGGAAATGAAAAGGCCAATCAAATTACTCGAGACAGCACCAAGGCAACTAGTATTAACTTTAACATTCCTAAAACAGACATTTTCCGTTTACTGATCCAAACAATTGTTAAGGAAAGGCAGAATTTTAATTTTAATAGAAATATGTCTTAAAGCAAAGGACAACTATTCAATCCCCCCAAAAATTTCTTTAAAAATGGTGGTTCACTTCTACAGGATGGCTACCAAATTGTCAGAGTGAAATTCCCTGACTTTTCCCTGTTTAAGGAAAGTTTTCCCTGAGCAATATGTCAAGAGACAAAAATGTTAAAAATATATAGTTTATAACTAATTAATTTATAACTAGTTAATTTATCATACATGATTGAAAATTGAAAGATTAGAGTTTTTTAAAAAACAAATATAATGTTCAAGAGGAAGCATTTTTTAAACATGATAAGGATTTTTTTTTTTTTTTTTTTGAAAACTGACCTTAAGTAATTTATTTTTATAGTCTATTTATTAATACTTTAATCACTTTACTTTCATAAAGTAAGAGAATGTAAAAGTTGATACTTGACACTTTTATCTATTATGAAATAAACTGAGCTACGAGCTATTCTTATTTTAATGTAAGGTAATTTAGTTTTTTTATTGCCACAAACAGAGCAATAATTATCCATAGGATACTAACTGTGAGGCGAGATTGCTGAGTAGTTCAATCAATGAATGATTACAGAAGGAAATGGCAGGGACACAATTTTTGAATTTGGTAGACTGACTAGTAAAGAAATAAAAATACTAGAAGGTCACTTTTTTCGGGGTTTCACTCATATCAGGAAAACTATCCATCGCATCAACAAAGATGTTCTATACAAAATTAAAGCTGATAAAATTTGCAATATGATTGACTCTATACATTTTTTCGCTACCTCACTTAGTTAGCAAGATATCTTTCTTCAACTATGGCGAATTTTGAAGGAAAATAAATTTGAGTCTCCACCACTTCTTTCTATTACTCCCTTTTCGGGCATTCATTGACTGCACCTGAGGGGACTAAAGTTTTCAAAAACACACGTTTCCCGGCAACCTTATAAATTCAAGTTTACATGATAAAATAATTATGAGTTCGCGTTCTGGTGTTGGGGGAGTTTTAAACATCCCCGCCTTCCACCAAGGAAAAGCTTGGTATAGTCTCAATGCCAAAGGGGTGGACCAAAATAAAAAAACTAAGACATTGCAGGTTTGTACATGCTCTTATACTTATAATAGTCCGGGAGCCCGTGATAAAAAAAGTGTCATATTTCATACTAAGCTTTGTCCTTATAAATTGATCATATCAACAGGCCTGATGAGAAAAAGTTTTTCTGTATAGTTTAGAAGTTTAATAATTAAATTATAATAGCTCTAGCCTTTGAATGGTTGAAGATAAGATCGTAAAATAATATATATTCTTAAAGAAAATTTAATATTTAACAACTTTCTTACTCATGACTTTTTCGTATAATGAAAAGATAAAGAGTTGGCGAGTCAAATAATGATGAAAATGCGATGCAAAATTTTTTTTTTTTCGAAATTAGTGAATTACAAGGGCGAATATCACGGAAACTATAGAATATAGCGAATAAACTAATATGACCATTTCTACTGCAAATTTTGTCAGCTTTAATTGCACATATCACACTATTATAGATATAACGCATAGTTTTACTGATATAAGCGAAAAACCGATAAAAGTAAACCTTTTTAATCGTAAATTCAATTTTTCCACTTGAAATCTACGAGTATGGGGTAACTGACTTTTATTTCAGGTCTTAAGACTCTAAATAATATAAATTGAAAGTGTTGGTAGTTTTATATATCTATAAGCTCTCTCTAGTTCAGACGGTTACACAACGCCGAATTGCGTGAACTGTATCCGGGTAATATAATTGAGGTAATTTCATCGCGACGAATCAAATGGGCTTGTAAAGTTGTTGGACTTAGTAACGAGAGAATCCCTAAAAGGTTAATATTTGCTGTGCCGAATGGTAAGCGTCCGAGGGGTAGACCGAAGCGAAGGTGGGAAGATTGCATTAAAGCCGATCTGAAGGGAATGGGTTTGGACGGTGAACGGTGGAGGGAGGTGTGTAATAAGCGATTGGTGGTGTCGGCATCGAACCTTCGGGTTCGCCTTTTATTATTATTATATTTATGATTATTATAAGTTCTCTCTATATAGACGCGTGCAAGCTATGTAAGGTATCTTCACATGGCCGCCATTTTGTATTCTAGCGGCTTGATATCTTCTCCAGGGCGAACAGGTGCTTGCCAGCCAATGAATTGCTACGGCCGTTGCCACATGCTTTAAATAAAAATATAATTCAAAATAATATAAAGGTATCTATCGTTCCCCAATATTAAACATATAGTTAAAAATCAGAAAGCAACTCAACCGTTCCTGAACTATCTGTAAACTCGAAGTTTTCAACAATACTACTAATCGACAATTGGATATCTCTAAACTAAATTTCTGGTTGCTGCACAGTTCAAAACTGAATATAGAAAAAAAAACTTCCATAAACGACCCCCATTGGCATCATACATTGGACGTATCACTTCCTGAGACTTTTGCCGTCTCGACCGAGGTCATGATTTTTCAATTGTATTTTTAGTATTAATAGTTAATGTATGAAATTAATACTGAATTGTAGTTTCAATTTATTTATCTCTCGATCAATTAATGTGAGAACGTAAAAAAATATTTATTAAAATAAGATTTTTATTAAGTTGGAATAGCGATGTGGTTTTATAGTTAATAACAATATTAATAATCAAGGCTGCAGCTTACATTAAAATTTCTTCGAATTACAATATCGTATATAACGGGTATAACGAGGTATCAGCTTTAACGACGAAAACGCTATGTTCAATGATTCAGATGGCTTTTATAATGTGATATTGAATGGATATAACGATTGGATTTACTGACTCGATTTTTTAGAGTTTTGAGAAAAAATGATCGTATATAGCGACATTTGAACTCCTAAAAACCTTCGTGTTTATATCTCACTTATCGAGGAAATATTTTATTTCATTCGTTCTGTATGTAAGAATCACATTTATAGGCCCAATTTCATTCCCACTCTTAGTGTTAAATTCATATTTCTGTTTAGTAGTTTAATAAAAATAACGAAGAGCAAAAAGTTCTAGATATAAGAAAAAGTCTATACATGTTGCCGGCTGGAGACTAAAGAGTCTAATAATATCTTGGTTCAAGAATTGAACATAAATCTTACAATTCGAAAAAATTACGGATCTAATCGAGGACTTGCTGAATCAGTTATATCCAAAAAACAACGACCACCTATCTACTCACGACAAAATCCGTTCTTCTCAATATTCCGCTATTAGACAAGGAGCTACCGACAATTTTATTTAAAGGAAGGACTTATAGCTAGTAACCATTTTAAATTCTAGATAAACCTCATCTGAACACACAACTTCGTTCAGTCAGTTGAAAACTTGCTTTCTATACGAAAATTTAAATTAACGAGGCGAAATTTGACGGTCCATTTAACGGAAAAACTGACAGCTGAAATTTTGATATGACGTAAAGAATATGTTCCTAAAAGAATACATCTTGACCGACGACGTCTAAGTCATCACATTAGGGCAGTCCGATAGTAGTTGGTTGAAAACAAAATTAAAATAGTCGGTTTCTCTTCGGTTTTTTTGCGATACTGATCTGAATTTGACGTTCCCGAATGAAATGTTCCATTGCGTATCGAGATATACGCAATTTCTGAACTTTTTTAGTTTTTGTACATTACTCCGAAATTGTGCATTTTATGGAATTTATTATTATATACAACGTTAAAGAAGATAAAATTTACTATCAATTTTATGCATAGCTTTTTGATGTAGGGCTAACGGGTGAGCAGTAAGAGAATATTGACTGTTTGCATTTTTCACAAGAAAAATCTATTTTTGTCGGTTTTCCCCCAAAACTCATAATCTATGCATCTATCGAAGAAATTCAATATAATCAATTTGAAAGAGCATTAAGTTTCGTACGTACCTCATACAGACACGTTAATATGTAAGAAGATTAAACGGCTGTTAAAGCTCAGAGAATCGAAGTCACATTTCCCTTGTAGTATCTGTCGTTCACAAACTAAGTGCTTTTTATCTTTTCAATGCTTTATTTTCGGCTAATTTAACTATTTTATAACAGAACTAGGATGTATAAACATATTAAATAGCTTTTATAAATTCTGTTGATATGCATAATAATCATCACAAAATTAAGGACCAAAATGCGTTTTAAAGTCCGAGCGGTCCGACCACATTTTGCTCATTCGCATATTAAGACTCTACCTAAGCATGAATTATGTGAAGCTGCCAACGTTCTCCTTAAGTTAATCAACGAATAGATGTATACTTACAGATAGTAAAAAGTATTGCTATATTTTTCTTTTTTTAAAAGCACTGTTTTAACTTCATTTTGCTAACATTTTATTCATTACCCTTGTTTAATTCCAATATAACGGCCAGGACCGCTATTGACAATGACAAGTGGATAGATATAGGTTATATAACGATATAAACATGAAGATGGTCCGGTCGTCTATAACAATTATACATTATAACAACGAAATTTACCAGGTCTCTTAAGGTCGTTATATTAATCCACTGTG